TCACTTCGCTCTGCGGGGCCAACGATGTGTACCGAAAGCCAGGCTAAACGCTTAGAAGTCCCCTTTTGTAACCAGTTCCCCCTGCCTTCCAAAATCCCCAAGAACTCACATCCGCCGCAGTCCATCCTGGCAAGTTTCTTGCGGCAGCGACAACTGGCAACCTGCAACTTGCGACTGGCAACCAGCAACTTACATCTAGCAACTACACGGAGAAAAATTGCATTCTGAAATGAAGCAAATTGATTTTGAGTTAATTTAATATAATTTTTTTGCTCACTAATATTTAATTTGTATTAAAGAAAATAAATTATATATATACACTATTATATTAAATTGAGTATCAGAATAGTGCTTTAAATCATATTATAAGTAATCTTAAGAGTGAAATGCTAATTGAATATTAAAAAAAAAAACTATCACATTAAAAGAAATACTGTTTTATTTACTAAGAAATTTGTATATCAACTGCAACTAAGCCGTTTTGTTTTCTGTGTGTCAACTGGCAACTTCAACTGGCCGCTGCGACTGAAACCGAAGCCGGTTTCGGGTGTGTTAACTTTCTATGCCCGGTAGCGCTGATTGCCAAGACAACGACAGCGCAATTCATTCAGCGGTCTCGCCTTTCAGCGGCAGCAGCTGCTCGAGATTGCTTAAAGCCACATCCTCGCCCTTCTTACCACTTTTGTGCTCTTGGCCAGTCGCTTTGCATGGCCAGAATCTCTGCAGGCGATTCCAGTTCGATTTATCACGGGCAAAGTTATGATCGCTTAAGTGCCGCCGTTTAGGGTTCCTGTTTTAGCCTCTTCAATTGCTCCTCATAAATTCTTCCCATGACAACACTAATTGCAACTTGCTTGAAGTAATAATGGGTTTGCCGTAATTTTTGCTACTTATACTGCAATAAATCCAATTGGCTTAAAAAGGTCGGGCTTATCTTATCGATGAAAATTTTGCATAAGTAATATTAAATAAATCAGTGGCAATGGCACTTAAATATGTAATTGACATCTTCCATGTTATCATGAGGTTTTTCTTAATATCGATTACCCGTTTAAAGAATTAAAAAATCTGAATAAAAAACAAAAATAACTGAACACAAAAAACTTGATTATGTGATAATATAGAACATTAAATTAAATCAAAAATAGTTTTTAATTTTAAGAAATTTTTAGTCCATAATTTTGTGCAACATTGCTTGAGAAAATTTCTTAGTGGGCAAATCAACCCAATTATCAAATTCGTATATAACCAGACATTAATTGTCATAGAAAATCTTTAATTGCACTTCAGTTCACACTTTCAGCACCCATCCAAAAGATATCACTGGATAAGCTTATTTGGCAGCCCATAATTGCTGGCAAATTAGAAATATTAATTCAACAAAACCATTTTTGATTGGCATCCGTGCAGAGCTTGTTATTCGTAATCGATTGTTGGTATGCCGAGCGCATAAAACCGAAATAAAACCACAAAATTATGTACACAAATATGTGCAGTATGAACAGATCGTTTCCATGCTTTGGCTGTGACGGAAGTCTGGTCCCAACGCATTGGAACCAAATATATGTAGAGACCGCCGCAACTCTTTCAAAACGAGGCCATAAATATTGTTCATTTGTAAATAAATGGCTGACAAAAAAAAAGGAAAAGACGAAAACTACGAATAGTAAAAGTACAACAACTCACGGAGCATATAAAACATTGTTCATGTTCATTTCCAGTACTTGGTTTTCTATTTCCTAGGCAAACATTGGATGGTGCTCATGTCGCTGTGTGTGTTTCTATTTTTTATTACAGTATCATCTTCCGGTCACTTTGTCAGGCCTCCTCCAATACATTTCTACATTTCTCAAACAGTTACGACGAGACAAGTGGCCCCAGCGCGTGTGCCGAACTTGAATTATTAAAACCAGAAACGGAGTCCAAGAAGTAATAGAAATACGACCGATAAACGGAAGTTGGATAGACAATGTCGAAGCATGGTTGGTTACCATCTAAGGCGTACACTGAGAGTAGAATTATATTACAAACTAGGTTTGCTTTGATACGTCGTGTTGAATAAAAGACATAGACAAATAGAAACATGAAGCAAAATAGTTGCCAGTTAACACAAATTTACAGTAATGTAATTTAAATCTGTTGTTTAATCAATGAAGCGCATTTAGTTGATATAAAAAATATATTTATTTAATTAGATTTACCTAAAATTTATAGTCATTTATTTTATAATTGCTACTAAGAAGGTTGAAAAGTTAAAACATGTTTGGTCCATTAATTATATAATTTAAATTTACCTAACCTATTCCCAATACATTTCCCACCCCTTTCACCGCTTTCCTCTGACCAGTGACCGCTGTACAACAACCTCACCAACGCCACTTAAAAGCAGTTCGCGCGACTGCACAGTGGAAGTGCCGCCGCCCAGAGGGGAGCTGTTGGGCTCAGAGTGACCGGCACCAGAGCTTCCCCCCCCTACCTGCCACCCCCTTTGAGACCCCACCTCAACACCCACATCTCCACCCACTGCCCCACCCACCCACACACGCACTCGCCGCATCGCGCTGCGCTTTGAATATAAATTACACAAATAGTGCACACAACTTTGATGGCTGCAGCCGGCGACATTGAACGCCGCTGTGGTACACAGTGGATTGAGAAAATTAAATTAAATTTATTAATTAATAATGTTAATGTTAATATTAACATTAAGCGTATTTGTTTTGCAGAAAAACAAAAATAATCTATTTTTTCGCAAATTTATTTAAACTAATAATAAATACGTAATAAAATTTCCTACAAAATAATTCATTATTATTTCGAAAGATGGAAATGTAACAAATTTGTGTTATTGTTTCTTTTTTTTTTAATTTAGTTCAAAATTATATTCTTAGTTAATCGTAATTTATATGGTTTAATTGAAAAATGTGTAAAAAACACCACAGCGGACAAATTCAATAAGGTGATGAAAATCATTTTTTAACACCCCGAAAACCACTGTGCAAATCGGCTGCCAGCGACGCTGGTCATGTCAACTCAACGTTGCCCTTTGATGCTAATGACTCTGCCATCGCCTTAAAACCGGCGGATCGGCTTCGATGGAGGGCTCAGTGCGCTTGGAACTTAGCGGGCAATCAAAAACCGTGCTGCAGCAAATTGGCATGCGTGATGTAGATGAATGGAGATGCAGCTTTTCCAGCGGGGTAATCTTTCTGAATGAAGTTTCTGAGTTTCTGTGCGGGGGCGGAGAAATGTGGGACAAGTGGTTTCCGCAACGCTTTCTGGATCGCAGAAGCGGCTGCGTTGATTGATTGATTAATTGACAAAGGAATTGCCGTTAGTTTTCCATTTGCATTTGCATTTGCATTTGCATATCTAATTTATGAACGGTCCAAGTCATGTCCGTTCATATGTAGTTCATTGTGTTAGCTATGCAAATGCTGCACTTCCGTTGCGATCGTCTGCCCCGACGCAGCTTAATTATTCATTAATTTCAACTTAAATTCCATATCTGCGCCTGCGGACATTTGTGGCCCAGTTTCGATGGTCCATCCGCAGGCTTTTGTCACCATAAAAGTGAAGTGTTGCCCGATTATGAAATAATTATAAGTATTCTGCACGTTCTAACCACTGATTAACCGGGTGTGTTGCTGTTTGTGCTTTGATTCGGCTTTTGAGAGAGGTCGATGTGCCTACTGGTTGAATACACTGTGTAACAGCATTTTGTGGAAATTGACAAAAATTATATTTACTGTTTGCTTCAAAGAAAGGCAATTATGTCACATTATTAAGTGAAACATTTATTAATAAACCTTAAGATTGCGGTCCATAATTATTTTCTCCAACTAAGGACCTCAAAATTTTAGACATCATGATTAAATAGCAATAATAACTATTGTAGCTTAAATAAATAACTGAATTTGTGCTTAACAAATTATGACCATGCAAAAAATAAAACGGAAGATAATATTAATTTAATAAAAAACAAGAAAGAAAGCAAACTTCGGCAAGCCGAAGTTCATATACCCTTGCAGCTATTGCATGAATTAAATACTTTTGAAAACATTTAAATTATGATTTACTTCAGTATATACTGAAAAACAGTGAAGCTATGATGATTTGCAGCTCAATTATTAGATAGTTATTTTATATATTTTTATTAGTTCTATGGGAGCTATATGATATGGACGTCCGATTTTGATAAAATTTAAACAATAATTCTGAAATAATTAAACATTGGCATATGTCGAAAAACTAAACAAAAAATTAAAAAACAGAAAAGTTATAATTTTTTTTTCCATTTATTTCTCCGATTGTTCCTATGGGAGCTATATGATATAGTCGTCCGATTTTGATGAAATTTAAACCGTAAATCGGAAATATTTAACCATTACTAAATGTCGAAGAACTAAACAAAAAATTAAAAAACAGCAAAGTTATAATTTTTTTTCCTTTGTTTTTCCGATTGTTCCTATGGGAGCTATATGCTATAGTCGTCCGATCCGGCTCGTTCCGACTTATATACTACCTGCAATAGAAAGACAGCTTTTGGGAAAGTTTCATGCAGATAGCTTTAAAACTGAGAGACTAGTTTGCATATAAACGGACGGACAGACGGACAGACGGACAGACGGACAGACGGACATGGCTAGATCGACTCGCCTAGTGATGCTGATCAAGAATATATATACTTTATAGGGTCGGAGATGTCTCCTTCACTGCGTTGCAAACTTCTGACTGAAATTATAATACCCTCTGCAAGGGTATAAAAATGCATCTCAATATGTAGTGCCTAGTACTTTTCAACTTCTAACATTTTAAACCATTTAAAAAGCTTATTATTACCATGGTAAAATAATGCATTTGTTTAAAATTTCAAAAGGTTTAGCAGGTTAGTATAATTGAATGCGTCGAAGCTAATATGTAATTAACTAGTTTTGTTTAGAGCTTTGCGCATATTGGGCATCTAGTTGGCCTGTTCCATTGTGTTTTAATCCCCTTGGTAAATCGGAAATTTTGAGCCTCACTCTACCTGAAAATTGCGACCAGTTAGCATCTATGTAAATTCACAAAATCTATAAAATAGGTCCCACCCGCCTCCGACATCCGACTCGCATTTCGTTTCTCGTGGAGGAGCTGCAACATGCCTTGCATATTTAATCCCGGCTACATCGGACCCGATCCACCCTGCTGTGACCCGAACTGCGAGGAGGAGGTGCACTGCACGGTTCCGGAGTGTGGGGTCTGTCCGGAGTCCCAACTGCCCCGCTGCAATCCAGCCCCACAGCCAAAAACTAAGCCGGAGCAGCAGACACCGAAACAGAAGCACCAGAAGGAGCAGTAGTAAAGAAGGGAGGCGGAGCAGAGGATTGTTTATAGCGATAGACCTGTTCTTTTGTTGGGATGCGTCTAAAGCCCAAACCGATTTTATCCAATATGTGGCTAATACACAATAAACTAGGGGAACAAATGAGTTTTAATAAAATCTTGTAGTAATTATATCGTGGTGATATATTCTTTACTTTTTCCATCATCATGTATTGATATTGAAATTATTATTTTAAAGGAGATGTGGTAAAGACCTGCCTTTTTCGGATTAAAATACAAATGTTATTATTCTCATTATTTTCTAATTCTATACTGAATTTTTGAAGGTAAAAAACTTGCAAAAACAGTTAATTCTAATGTGTTAAAATAATAGAAACTTAGCCCTTTCCGTGACTTCGCTTATTAACTTTACCTTAACTTTTGTTTAAAAAACAGTATTTTTAATTGTATAAAACTGAATATCTTACAAGCTTTCTATATACCTATTTGCCCAAACACATTCAAATAAACATTCCAAAAATAAATTCCAATCAGTATGCCAGATTTGGGTGTCAACAAAAAAGTTTGTTCATTTTGTTAGTCAAAATTGAAATACAGAACGTGCTGTACAGAACGTCTTAATTTGTCAACATTTTTGCTTTTTCTCCTTGAGCTCTTTGGTAAGTTAGAAATGGTCGTAGTAAATAAACAGTGTTTTAACTTACGCTTTGCAGACTCTTGCGGAGTGTTCAACATGGTTTATCTTAGTCGCCCCTGGACTCCCGTCTTCAATCCCTACTACATTGGACCGTATCCGACTTGCGCCGCTTGTCCTTGCGACTTTGATATTTACAAAGGTTACACTCCCGGTGGCTGGCATAGTCGTTGCTATCGCAGCTATTAATTATGAAGACCTCACAAGTCAGTGAAGAAGTCAAGGAGAAAAGTGGAATATGGGCTAAATTGCAGATCACAAAGTCCCACATACATGTTTAAAATAGTAATAATATTCAATAAAAAAAAAAAACTTAAAAAGCTCAAAAACAAAAATTAATTAAGCATATTTTTGCATTATACAAAAAAAAAATTTTAAGATTACTCTACTTTGCCTTTCTTAATCAAGTCACTTTTGTAAAAAAAAAAAAATAGGTATCAAAATTCGAAATTCAAGGCATTGACACTCATTTAAGCCATCCCATGTCGGCGTCTGTGGATCACTTGGTTTACCAAGTGCTGGCTCCCTTTGCCATCAACACCCTCGATCGCATAGTGCCGGCTGTCCGCCAATTGGTGCTCATCCTGCATGAATCCTTTCTGGTGGATCACCAGGAGCCGGAGCCGGTGATCGATGTGTCCGTCCTGATTGAGCCCGTCCGTAAAATCGTCCTAATTGTCAAAGATTCGACGCCGGAGGTTCATCCGGATGAGGAGACGGTGATCGGTTCGGATGAGATCAGCAGACTGCTGGGTGAAATTTCGCGGAGCATTCGGGACCTGGTCCAATCGATTTATGATACCATCTCGGCACTGACGACTAACTAGAGGGTAGCCTCAGAAATAGTTGTCAGCCTGGTCGATAGAAAAACCCGATATCGATCCTCCTGATCCTCCAGAAACCCAGCACCGCCTGCACCACATCATCGCGAGCCATGGAAATGGTGCACACGGCCATCGGGGTGGCGGGCACAGTGGCCTTGCTCTTGGTGGTCTGCCGTTCGGTTTCGCAGGTGGCTGGCTTGGTGGCGGATGAAACCCGAGCTCCGATCTCCTACTTGGTGAGCCGCGGCGATCCATTGGCAGATCAGCTGACGACCGCCGAGGGGATAACCCCACTGGTGAAGGGAGATCGAATGGATGGTGCCTGTTCGGTGGTCCAAAGTATTGGCGGTAAGGCGTGTGGCTTGCTAGGACCTCTGCTGCCCAAACTGGGCGGCGATCGGAAGTCCGGCGACTCAAGGACAGAAGAGGAAGTGGACAAAAAGGAACCGGAGGCAGCAGCACCGGAACCGGAAGCCCCTGCTGAGGCAGATCCACCGGAAGAGGAGTAAGCTCCGGGTTTGGAAAACCGACTACAAGGCTCCCTGCTAGCATAGTCAAATTTTTAGTAGTCCTTAGTAGGCCTCAAACCTGAAACGTCACTTTTTTTGTCGGCTTTGTGTGATTCGCAACCAACAGAGCTCATTCGTTTTGAACAGCTTGGACTGAACACATCTTTCTCTTAAAAAAAAGTTCGAGAAATATGAAAAATTGAAAAAAAATTCTAAATTCATAGCCAAGGACTGACATCAACGTATTTCTTCAGCAGCAAAAAATATTAAGTAAGTTTTAAGTTGTATTTCTGGAATACAAAAAATGAATACGATCCTTGCAGCTGTGGCATTTGTGCTTCATCTGCAGATCTACGAAGTGATTCAGGAGTGTCTTCGAGCAAATCACATACTTTCAAGATGGTTCTGATGCTCTGCTGCAGTTTCGATCCCTTCTACGTGGGACCCTGTCCACCCGGTTGTCTGGCTCCTCTAATGGGAGGCACTCCCTACTGTGGCTGTGGTCCTTGCTGCAGTCCCTGCTGTGGTTGTGGTCCCTGTGGTGGTTGTAGCTCGTGTCCCTGCGGCTGGTAAAGCGGACATCGAGAGAAAATAAGCGAGCTCAATGGTCGATGATCATGGGTGAGTTAATGTCCAGCCATATACTAATATTTAAAATCGATACTAACATTAAATATTATCAACTAAATCTATAGCACAATGCCAGCAAAGATTGAGCTTCTATCAACTACTGCTGAAGAGATATGTTGCTGTTCGAAATCCTTATCCTTGGCGAGGGCTTAAACATCTAAGCACTCTTTGATATAATACGTTTTTCGATTTATGCTGTTTAGAAATAAAATGTATTAAATTCAACCCTTTAATTGTATTTTTAATGCACTTAAATCTAAAGTGTTCCATGCAAGGCTTGTAATGGAAACTAGGACCTTCGGCTTTGTCAAATAATATATAATTTGATTGAAAAACATAACTGCGATTTGATTGAGAATAATTTTTTTTTTGTTGAATACAAAAACTTTGTATTTGCTCCCCAAATAACTATAAATAATGCTCTTTAATAAATATAAAATTGTGGTGTTCTTTGAGTAATATTTTGTTTGTTCATTTTTTAATTAGAGCCTCGACTTGTTAAAAAAGCTTTTGGCAACGGTAAATAAACAAAACTTTTTTTTTTTAATTATCCGCCTTATTATTTCCCCAGAATGGTTAAAAACTATTAACGCACGTTATCATTGAACAAACAAGGTGGTTTGGGGATTATGGAAGTGTAAGCATCGGTGGCCAGCCTCCAGTCATTTGGAGTTGAGGCTGCAAGGACCTGCCACCCTCACGGATGCACATGTTGTCCTAGGTAAGGGACTCGCCTAGAACAGCTGTTTCGCCGCCAGGACAACTGCGCAGTCGCGATTCCAACTCGAACTCGAAACAGAACCAAAACATAGAATGTGGAGCATTGTGTCAGGTCAAAGATTTTTGGGGACTGACTGCTCCTCCCGCTTTTCCAGTTCCATCCCAAAACTGAACCGATTTCTGATGCCTGATGCTATGTTTTGTTTTGGCTAAGCGCGATTTATAGCGCCGTATCTGAGGTGTCCCTGTGTGCGTTATGCTTCCTTGAGGTTTTCCGAGGGTGTGCTACCATTCGGAGCTTGTGTGAGTGTGTGTTTTGGCTATTTCACTCTCATTTTGGCATCGCTTGCGTTGTTTTGCCCGCGGAATTTATTGCGGTAGGTCGGTATTTTCATTGCTTTACCATGGCCCCCCCCCCTTCTGAAGAGCTCTTTCTTTTTTTCCTGGTTTTCTCTGAATTTCCTGCCAGCATGAGTGTGTGCCTTTGTGCCATGTTTTATGGCCAAAGTTGTCTGCCTTCTTATATTTGACTTTTAGTTTTCGCGCAGAAACTTTGCGACTGCATTGTCGTCCCTATGAGAATGTTGCACTTCGCATAAGTTCCTTTTATTTCATATTGTTATGATGCAGCAACAGTTTCTCCAGGTGCTTCCTTAAAGTTTATACATTTAGCCGAAGAACTTTGAGTGTTTGGGACTGCCAAAAACAATATATGAAGAAATCCAAATGTATGGGAAAATACAATTAGTAGAAATATGGTTGGATAAGTTTTCATTAAAATGTGGTTCATTAATTGTTATTGAATGGATCTTCAGGAAGCACAAATTCATATTTGTTTTTATAATATTTTATTATATAATTTCAGATATAGATCTCTGGTTTGTGGATCAAAGTATAATGTATATATTATATGTATAAAAATTATGAAATTATTTAATTGTGTGATGCCAAGAAACGCAATATGTCAAGTTAAATTCAAAGAATCAAAATTAAAGATCGGAAGTCCAAACTGAAAAACATAGCATGCCCGAGTCAGTTGCAACATGTTGCAAGTGGCGCTCGGATTGCTTCGAACCGTTGGAAGCTCGAATCCCGTTCTCGACTTCGGATTTAACTTTCAGCGCGCTATCGGCCGACTTCAGTGTTCGTTTAATTTGCGGATAGCGCGGTCTGCTGTTCGATTCAGTGGCATCCGCCTGGTGTTTTTTAACGTACTTCATCCGTATCCGTAGGATTCCCGCTCATCCGGCAGATAAGCCGAGAAGCCTTCGTACTTGGCCACAAATCAGGACTTAATCCCGGGGCCCTAGCCTAATTGAATTCGGGCGAGTTAATTGGCGGCCAAAAAGTGTTGCCCTCGTAATGATGCTGCCATTCATCTGACATTTAATTTAATTCTGTTTCGCTGATCGCATTGCTGGGCAACGTCTGCAAAGTTTGATTAGTGCGCGTTACCGAAAAAGTAAAACAGAAGCCGGGAAAATCAACAGAAAGTACGGTTCATTTGCTAAATACACGGGACCCCTCGAATTTTCCCACTCAATTCGTGTTTGTGAGTTTCTCCTTGTGTGTGTGCTAGCTGAGCGAGGGGGAGTGTGTGGCGAATTTCATTTATTGGCAGCCAGCAACTGATTTGAATATTCACAAACACACTGCCAAAATACTAGACCTGATTGTGGCTGTGTGAGCCACTGTGTGAGTGCACCATGATTTATAGGTCCTGCAGAAGGCGTGATGTAAAGTGACAATTTCTGGTAATTTTCGATTTACATGCCGCTGTGCATTGGGTAAGTTTGACGGAGGACCCTGAATTTTATTTACACTTTTAAGATTGAATTACCTGGAAAAAATCTCATGCGTAAATTAGATTGTTTCGGAAAAAGAGGTCAGACCTGTGAAATTGCTTTTATTATTTGTCACATTTTATGCACATCAAAAACAACAATATTTTGTAATAAATCTAATTTTTTAGTTTAGCTATGAGTTTTTTTTTTAATTAACTTTCATTATACTAAGTACTGACCTAAGTATTAAATACAATTCAATTATTATAAGTTATTATAAATATATACAAGAAATCAATGATCCAATGCTTACACTATGATTTTTTTTATTTTACACTCATTTTGTTTTTTTTTTAAATGCTATTAAAATTTTTTATCAAATTTTGTTTGTTGCCAATTAATTTTTATTTTTTCCCCCTTTTTCAAGGCGCTTGTAACTTTTCAATACATGAGAAGTTACCTCTGAGCTGCGATTGATTTACCCTGCTCGAATGACTTAAAAATCAGAAACCACAAAATAAACACTACCTGCGGACTCACGAGCATATCAGATCACTTCTACTTCCGCCCCTTAGAGGGTTTCCATCTAAGTGGTTTCTTCAAAAAATGTAATTTGTCTAGAGGCTAAAAATAAATATGTACATCCCATAGCTGAGTAGAATAAATCAATGTGTAATTACAGTAAGAGTATAGATTCCCAATTCGTTTCCTCTCGAGCATATATAAGCACCCATAAATATCGCGACATTAGAAAAATTTTATTGGTTTCGGACGACCGGGGATGATATTAATGGGTGCCATTAATATTTAATCTTCGACAACAGGTTTTATCCGCGTTAACAGTGAAATGTACTCCAAAGAATAAAACCCTCCATCCAATTATTTGGCAGAAGGCGAATTGAAAACTTTGTCCAAACAGCACCTGTGCCAGAGGAATTTTTAATAAATTCTCTCGAAGAAGTGGTAAACTCAACAAAGCCATTCGTCATGCTCAAGTAAGTTGGGCTTTCGACTTTTTGGGTTTTTCCCCCTTTATATTTTTTGCTGGTCAGCCAACCAGTTTGGCAACATAATTATGCAGCCAGGCATGCAGCTGAGGACACCGTCGGTCGCTGAAAGGGTAGAAAGAACCCTTTCTTTCGACATATATATATATATATATATATATATATATATATACATTTACATATAAATTTGGGTCACTTGGGCCGAATCAAATTGTAATTAAAATATGAAATTTCCATGCAGGCACACACAAAATTTCACTTTTCATCTTAATCATAATAATCGCAAAAAATTGCATTTATAATGGAACAAAGCAGAACTCATTTTCGCTTTCGCGGCGGCCTTGACGGGTTGAAAAGTTCTGGCTGGTGGAAATTATCGTCATCAGCCTCAGGATTCCTAACCATCATCATTATCGTCTGGTTTCTGGTCCGCTTTGCATAATTTCATACATAAACTCTCGTTTTTGTGCGCATAATCCGCAGCTTTGATGACAGCAAAATAGGAAAAAAATGTGCAAAATAACCCGCAGTTTGGGCAGAAAGGTGTCGCGCCACACACTCCAAACAGTGGGTGCGCTAAATGTGCAAAAAATGAAGCGTTGAAAAGTTGTTCGCGTTACGCATCCGCCATGTTGTGCGTCGCAGGAGAGGATTACGCCCGGGTGCTCATATAGTTAATGACATGCAGCTGCTGTTTTACTTGTGGTTTCTGCCAGACGCCTCTCGAGTTCTCCCTAAATTTTCCCCTTCAGCCATCCTCCGTACAAACTTATGAATTTTAAGGTGATTTCCATGTCGCAGGACCAAGTTCAGTATACTTTGGGATGGGTATCCTGCGGGAATGGGCCCCAGTGGCACGTCACATCGGGGACTTGTCAGCAAAGGGTTGATCGAATCATAAATCAAACGAACTGTTTGCCCAGCTCGCAATCAAAATCATTCTGCGGTCTCCGGCATTTGTTTCTTCGAAAATGGTAATTAATCATCGAAAGTAATTGGTTTTCTGTTTTGATTTGACATTTGAAAAATTGCAGCTGTGACAATTCAATCCCAGCCCCGTTTATTTGCCTGCCATTTCCCACTTTGGTGGTTTTTCAGTGCACAATGTTACCAAAGCAAACGCAAATGTTTATTTTCTTTTTTTTTTGAAGTGCAACGGTGACCTATGCAAATGGATGAATGCAAATTAAATATAAACGAACGCATAAATGTGGGTTAAAAAACATTGCCCCGCGATATTGGCGAACAATGGGATTAACTTGAAAAAAGTCCAGAGCTAATGTTGGTTGCATGGCTATTGATTGGCTGAAAAGCCAATTTTGCAGAAACTTTAGCTTTAATAGAATTATCTTGCTGTTTATTTAATTATTCAACAGTATCAGTGATGTTTAAATTAATTGTATTAGTAATTCCCGCACTAAATTAATGAGCACAATTGAATATATTTTTGTTGTGCCTTCGCAGTTTGTATTTCGAGTTAAACCGTTTATTAAACTTTTAAAACAACCCATATAAACTCGAGAATTAAACTAAGACGCAAATAAAGTTTGTAAGGAGCAGCCGTCACTTAAAACTTCTCAAATGCAAATAAGGCCCAAGAGAATTTCTTGACAATAAAAAATTATTAAAAAAGCGTTAAAGTCTTTAAACAGAATTATGCCCCACAGAAGCAGACATAAACTCAACTTTGTGCTTCTTTTTTCGTGCCACTTCA